TGCTTTACCAGACATTTATATTCACAATGTGTACATTTGTGTATCTTATGAGATACAAAAGTAGAAAACTCAGGATGTTTCCGTAAAATGTGGTTGTCTAAAGATCGTTTGCTTATAAATGACGCCTCACACTTTGTACACTTGAGCTTAGCTCCAGTATGTTTGATGATATGCCTAGCTAGAGAATGCGCATATATAGTTTGATATTCACAATTTGTACATTTAAGTATCTTACGAGATACAGAAGTAATAAACTCAGGATGTTTTCGCAAATTGTGATCGTCTAATGATAGTCTACTTTTAAATGACGCATTACACTTTGTACACTTTAGCTTAGCTCCAGTATGTTTCATCATATGACTAGCTAAGCAGTGTGGATGAGTAGTTTTATATTCACAATGTGTACATTTATGTATCTTACAAGATACAGAAGCAGAAAGATCAGGATGTTTTCGCAAAATGTGATCGTCTAATGATTGTGTGTATGTAAACGACTTATCACACTTTGTACACTTGAGCTTAGCTCCAGTATGTTTCATCATATGTTTGATGAATTGCTGCTTTTGCAGACATTTATATTCACAATGTGTACATTTATGTATCTTACGAGATACAGAAGCAGTAAACTCAGAATGTTTTCGCAAATTGTGATCGTCTAATGAGAGTCTAGTTGTAAATGACGCATCACACTTTGTACACTTTAGCTTAGCTCCAGTATGTTTAATCATATGACTAGCTGAGCAGTGTGGAAATGTAGTTTTATATTCACAATGTGTACATTTATGTATCTTACGAGATACAGAAGCAGTAAACTCAGGATGTTTCCGCAAAATGTGGTTGTCTAATGATAGTACGGTTGTAAATGTCGCATCACACTTTGTACACTTGAGCTTGGCTCCAGTATGTTTCATCATATGACTAGCTAAGCAGTGTGGAAATGTAGTCTTATATTCACAATGTGTACATTTATGTATCTTACAAGATACAGAAGCAGAAAGATCAGGATGTTTTCGCAAAATGTGATCGCCTAATGATTGTGTGTATGTAAACGACTTATCACACTTTGTACACTTGAGCTTAGCTCCAGTATGTTTCATCATATGGCTAACTAAATACACCTTATATGTAGTTTTATATTCACAATGTGTACATTTATGTATCTTACGAGATACAGAAGCAGTAAACTCCGCAAAATGTGGTTGTCTAATGATAGTACGGTTGTAAATGTCGCGTCACACTTTGTACACTTGAGCTTGGCTCCAGTATGTTTCATCATATGACTAGCTAAGCAGTGTGGAAATGTAGTTTTATATTCACAATGTGTACATTCATGTATTTTACTGGATTTACTGGACACTGGACATTTTCCCAAACAAGATCCTAAATAGCAATTGTTTCTTTTGATATGACCGATCAAACCCTTTTTACAGTGGCTCGTATAGTTACAAATAAAGCAGCTGAACGACTTTTTTCCTTCTTCGATCGGTGGATTTCGTTGTTCCTTTTCCCGCGTTTTCTTTATTTGAGCGCTGAAAAAAAGTTTCATTATACTTTACGTTTTTTAATTGATAAAGAGAATCGATTCAGCTGCGTATACCGCGACAGATTCTGAAGTTTGCATTAAACGTTATTTCAAAAATTAATATTAATTTAAACAATCATTATTGAAATTTATTTAAGAGAATCATTAGCAAGTTAAACGGATACCGTTCTTACAAACACTATTCCAAATTGTCCCAATTTGTTCGATTAACGCACAATCTCGCTCGGCGAATCCACGACTCTTTAACATACAAGCTCCGAAAATAAAATACTGGTGTCCACGAATTAAATCACAAGCATTTTCAGTGCGCTGTTGAAGCTCTTCCAAAATCTTTACTGCTCCATCGTGATACACCAACTCTTTCAACTAGCCCCACAGAAAAAAATCGCAAGGCGTTAAAATCCGGGGAGTGAGCAGGCCGATAAATGGGCCGATTGCGCCCTATCCATCTATTCGGAAACTCATTATTTAGATGTTCATGAGCTTCTCGTCTAAAATATGGTGGAGTACCATCATGTAGGAACCACACCTTCTGTCTCACATTTAGAGGAACATTTAATAATTGTGGCATATTATCCTGTGTCACGAAGTCTTATAACTAAATTTACAAACATCCGTGGGGCTGGATGATTTCTTAAAGGACACCTTTCCGCGTACAACCTGCATGCTGCGACTGCATTTTGTTGCCACTCTCCGTCTGTCCGCTAGATCATTGTTTTCGTAAACATGGGCCATTTTTTCGCACAAGATACTCAGATAAATGAAAGGATACGCACTATTCAAAGACTGATACAACTAATCGAACCAAAGACTCGTACTCGTACAGCTAAAGTTTTCATGACTGTCATTTTATATTCACAATGTAAAAACTCGGGTATCTTAGGAGAACACAGAAGCAGTACACATTACAATGTTACAATGAATACACTCAAATGTTTTTCGAGTATTATGTTTCGCCATGTGTTATATAATTGTAGTCTTATTGGTTATTTTAAATTAACGATGCATATAATCATATATACTGGTAGACACTGTCCGCTTAAGTTCGGGTATTGGGATTTGAAAATGGTTTCTTATATGACCTATTACAAGATTTGCACATGTGCAGGTCAGAAAAAGAAGCATGTTTTGACATATGCACGCTTAAACTACTTTTACGAACGGTTTCAAAATCATAAAATGTACATTCATGTATTTTAAATGAAACTGATGCAATATATCCGACATGCTTCCTAATCACACGATCATCTAGTGTTGCTTTGTGTTTGAACCTCGTTGCATTTACTTATTTAATCGGCACTGTTTCCTGGAAAGTGATCCTGATTTTCCAAAATATATTTTTGGTTTCTTTAAATGTTTATAACAATATAACAAAACCAACGCGTCTAAATCAAAATACATGATGGAGGCAACTTAAGTTGAATGGTCTGTTTATTCGTTTCGGTAAAATAAAGGTAGGCTTTGTAAAAGATGTTTCTGACAAAATAAGAAAAGTGATCATTCATTTGCATTGAAAAAGCCAAAATGCTTCCCAAATCAATGTTAACAAATCGAGGTGTATAGTTTGAAATATTATTAAATAGTACAAAACAACGGGATCTGTGGCTCAAAAACACAGAACGCCCGCGTTATTAAATACCAACTTGAGAGCCTTAAAACGGATTATCAATTGAAATTGGCGTGCTAATTATAACGAATTGAAACTATCAGGCAACCACAAAATAGTTTTCAACAGCTGTCAGAGAGCCTCCCAAAAACAAGTATTTGAAATTTATAAGGTAGGCTTACATTATAATTTATTAATCGTTTTTCAATATACTGACACAAGAAGAAGAATTCAGAAGAAAAACAGACTAGCATGGGCCAAAGAGCACAAATTATGGTCTCCAAACCAATAGAACTAATATTGGTAATAGTAGGAGTTGTGTCATAAGAACTAAAGAAGACATGTTTCAGAATGAATATCTTATAAAAAAGTCAAATTTCCGGCTTCTGTTATGATTCGGGGATCTATGTCAGTAGTGCAGCAAAACATTTTTTGACAATCGGAGTCTCCAAACCTACAAAATTTATTACACACCTTGTATACTAGAAATTCATATTTCATTTTGAGGCATCTCGTAGAGTTAGGGATTGAAGGAGACTCACCTATCGGTCGCCGAATCATGCTCGTCACTTTGGTCACTCTCAGTTTTGATGTCAAATCCGTGATGTAGCCCCAACGCGTACATATTTTCAAGATTTGTGCTCCTTAAATCTGGTTTTTCTTCCAGCTTGTCAGATTCTTGGAACTCCATTTTCATCTGGTCAACTGTATCTGCTGTCGAATCAGCTTCAAGTCCAGGCTCTAATTTCTCTTCAACTTTAATTCTAAAATGGTAATAAAGAGGGCGTTTTAATACAAGGCAGTCAATTTACAAGATGATTCAAAAAGGTTCCCCTTCCCAGCTATTTTTTGAATGGGGTGACGAATTTCATGCATAAATACTATATTTTAGCTTTTTTTAACCATATTTATCCCGAGGATAGATTAGCATTATTTGCAAAAAGGACCCCTCAACAATTGTCTTAAAGTTTTCAACCATTTACCGAAAGTTAGGAAAAAGATTGTAAAACTAAGTACATTCAAAAAAATATTAAATAAACTATTACCATCACAATAGATTACTTTTTCAAGACCTATTTGACTTAAATGGTTCAGAGGAACTTTTTGGTTGATGCTACTTGTATCACAAGTGGTTTACAGCAATTATATAGCATTTCTATTTGCAAATAAAGATTACGGTTATTATTATTATTGTTAGGGTAGCAGTGCAACATGTCAAAATGATGGTAGTGCCCCACCTTGGAGCATTTTTCCAGAGCATTAACACTGTTTGATTATGTAGTTTTTTCTACAAGACGTCAACTTTGCACTAGCTGTTGTACAAATGTTGTGTATGTGTTGCTTCAGCTGTTACTGTTTGTCTCTGATGTGATATAACATCTGTTTCAGAGTAGTATTGGAGGTTCAAGCTGTAAATTGTATACTATAGCTAGATGGAAACGGCAGTGCATAGGTTCATAGTGAGGATTTGTGTGTTAATTATATGTGTCGATGATAATTCCATTGGTTTCTTGTCTCAAATACACTTACTTGAGATGTATGCAAAGCTAAAAATTAGTTTCGCATCTGCTTTTTCTTATTCAACCCAGAAATTACATTTGCAAAATTGCTGAATTTAAAAAAATAGAGTGATAAGAATAGAAAATCTCTGGTTGGTGAAGTATATTAAAACAAACAGGTGAACAAATATGGTACATACAGGAATACTTATGAAATGTAAAATAGTTCTTACATTTTACGATATTTTTGATGGTGCTCAACAACCATCTTGAAATTACTAATAAGCTAACATACCTATAATACTTGTGCATTAATTTCACCACCCCAAACTTCTGCTAAGTTGACTTGTTTGAAAATTATGTATGGGGAAACATTTTTAATGAATACCCAGTATAAATGACTCATTTGTTTCTAAGGTAGTTTTTGAATTGAATAGATCCAAAACAAAATTAGGCCCACCTATCAAATATGGCATCTTCACATTCATATTTGATGTCAAACTCTTCACTTAGCATCAAAGTGTCCATATTTTCCAACTTTGTGTTGTTCACAGTTTGTTCTGCTTCTGGTGTTTCAGATTTAACACTAACTACTAACTGATTCTCCATTTTCACCTGGTTAACTCCATCCCAGTGTTCATCTTTGACACTAAAATAATATTATAACTATCAAGCACCATCTTTAGGCTCTGTGTTGCCACTTCTTGGACTGTTGCTGAAGGGATTTCCTTCTCTACCATTTAGATGAGAATATAAAATATTAAGAATAATTATGAAGGATGTTGAAAGGTGATCTTTACTTGGGAGGCTGATGTCACATGTAAGAATAAACAATTTTCTTTAACATGTTCGCTTCCAGACATATTTTTTAACATGTGTCCACCATGCCAAACATACATTTTACATTGAGTACTAGTGGGCCACCATATAAAAAAGATGTCAGTCCCATTGGGGCCACATTCCTCATTATGGAAAAATCTAAGAAATTATATGTGCAGCCTATAGCTTCTAGGCCATGTTGGTCCATTTCTACAGGCATACATAGGTAAATGAGCGCCAACATGGCAGTGAATGTGTTAAAAGGAAAGTGGAATCTGTTTTTATTACTTCAAATGGAATTAGTTACTTGGAAAAATGGCTGTGATGGTTAAAATTTTATGTGAATATCCAAATACAACATGAGGCTGGGTATCTCCTAGAAGAACATGTTAAACAATGGTATAAATATTTATAAAAGAAGTGACGAGTTACTCTAGTATTTTCAAAGCTCCTAAAGTTGCCATTGCATGATAGATAGGTACACCTCATTGTACCATACAATGAGAAAGCTATTTGAACGTTTCTTGATCAACTATTAATAGATTTCTTACCTTTGCAATGTTAAACTGAAACTCATGCTCTTGGTTCCTCTACACGACTTATTGAATGTCCAGTCTTGATTTCTAGGATATATATAATGAATAAAATAATTCTATGGCATATTATTTATAAAAAATGAAGTGTTAAGAAAATGACATGCTGAAAAAAGTAAGGTTATTTTGCAATTTGCAAAGCACAGAGCACAGGAAGAAACCTGCCGGAAATTTAAATCTGGCCAATCAGAGTTCAGACATCGTCAGTTGAGAATAAGCCATATTTTGAGAGGGCGACATGGTTGTCATATTGTGCACCAGCAACACTACGTTGTATCCCATTCGCCAAAATGAGTTTCACCCCCCTTGAGTTGACTTAGCTTCTTCTACTCCTCAGGGTAGGCCGGGGGCCTTTTGCCCAAAAATTACTGAGGTTCTAACTGGCAGAAAAACGAATCTCTTCAAGAAATAATGCCAAAGATAGATTATACAGTTATGAAAAAAGTAGTCAATGTAACGGAGTAAAGAATAAATCATAGTTTTAGATGTTCAGATTGTTAAAGAAGTGCTAATCTAGGTCTTTTGTGTTTGCGAATGGATGCAGGATCATATGTCACCGCATCTCTTATTAAAGGATTTGAATGTGAAGTTGCACGTTCGTAACTTTTGCTTGCAATTTGCTTAATGAATGGAGACAAGAAAGGAATATCCAGGTCATGATGAATGGTCGCGTTATAGAATTTTGTTTTGTATAACTTGCAATTTTGTAATGTTTCACCCCCCCTGGTACCTACCGTTTACCGTTGCTGCATAGGCAAAAATCCCATTTAAAAACACCAAAGCTCAACCCAGTGTTGCCAGAGGTCTCCTTAAAAAGTCGGTAGGTTAAACCTCTAAATATCGGAATATTTGAGAAAAAATCGGTACTTTTTCTATTAATATGATTTTTAACGCTAATATTTGTATGTATGTATGAGATATAAGTAAAACGCTGTAAAATAGTAGAAACTTATTTACTAAGAAACAAAATAGGTAAATAAATGAACACATCTTTTAAAAACATATTCAATATAACATAATATGTATAACTCACTGTAATTTAAATATAATAAATATATAATAAATATTTGATTAGCTAAGAAGAAAATAATCTATTTAAATAATAATACTATGGCCTATACCGTACCGGGGAATCAGGAAATCACGTCAATCACCCGTGTACCCAACGGGTATTATCCTTATCAAATTTGCATTTCATGGACCTCACGGACAGACAGATGGTAAAAAGATGTGCCAGTTAAAGCGTTAAAGCAAACAAGAGCAACCTGTCACTGAAAACGGTGAATCATTAAAGAAGTATTTTAAGTCAATTTTATGAAATAAATTGTATGTCTTCACTCAATGGAAAATGAATCGGTAGATTGTTGGTAAAAATCGGTATATCAGTAGCGGACTCAAAATCGGTAGATCTACTGATAAATCGGTAGCTCTGGCATCACTGGCTCAACCCACAAAACATGTACACTGGAGTCAGTCACTTGTGTCATGGCTTCAGTCATCTGTTGGAGGAAAATATAAGTATCTACTTTTTATACAGTTTTCAACATTCGGTTTATATATCTTCTCAAATTACAGATGCCGCCAACTCAACAGCCTAGCGACATCTACTGGAGATTTAACAGTATACCTTTTAGCTGGATTTCTCTATACGATTACTTTTAACTAAATACAAATGCCTAGCTATCTCTACTAGGTAACTTAAGATTATTCTTCTCAAAACGAGACGAATCGGAGAGGAGATAGTCCAGTCAGCAAGAACCTGAATATTTTAAAAAACAATTCATCTGTCCTACCCAAAATCAACGGAATCCTTCGCACAATGAAGTATCTAGAAAATTACCATTTTTTTAAAAAAGCATGGTTCCCTTACAGTATTTATTGAAGATGTAATGGTTGAAGCCGTGTTATAAGTTCTTGTAATGTTTGCACAACGTTCTACGTAAAATCGTGCAGGCATTGAAATAAATCTGTGTTGAAACTGGTATTTAGGAGTGCGATTACGAAATCACCCCGAATATTCATTCACAGATTTTTTCACTTTTTGTGATTTTTTAACAATCACCTAGGTCTAGGGATTTGGGAATGGATAGGTATCTAAGAAAGTGTCACTTAGAAAGGTTTGTAATTCAGATTATTTTCGGGGATGTCAGAAATAAAACGAATTTTCCCAAAATCGTACTTTCTCCTTACATTTGAAATGTGATTTCATCAATTCTGCCAGTGATGAGGGAATAAGTAATGCATTCAGAAGAACTGGAAGACGATACCAAATCGAAACTAGATTTTCAAGAAGACCAATCTCAGTAAGAATAAAAGAGCAAAAATCCAACACGGAACGGGGAGGAACAAATAAATCTGGGATAGCAGAGAAGGTGTATTTGATATAAGTGATCTAACAGAATAATTTCTATGTTGAAACTGATATGTTATAATTCAGTAAAAAAATAGTGGCCTTGCTTCAGAATACAACTGATTAAATGGGTAGGGTGGATATGTGCCAGAGTGGTCGAACAGTTTAGACAAAAGTGGAATAAAGTGTAATTACGAATTTTGTGTTCAAGATATCACAACTAATGCTTTTGGATTTTTTAGGTGATCATAATATATTTATGTTGTTAACTTTTCGCTTACAACAAATACATCGTTTAGATATTCCTGTAATTTTATAAAAAAAAATATCAATCAAAAAGGTGCTATTTGGTCGGTACTCGGACAGAAGGCGCTATTAGTCGGCCGGCTAGTTTCCAATTGTCGGACAGGGTTTGATTGGCCAGTTATAGGTAGAAGCGTGTTTAAAAATTTGTGATGGTAGAATAGACATTCGTCATCTGTTTGTGTTTGTATACATCTTATTATGCAACGTTGAATTATACAAATATGCCCTAGATTCCGTATCATTGGTGTGATAAAGAGTTTCTATGGACTGACAAATGCAAAGACTCTTCTAAAAATGTCAGTGTTTGTGCCGTTAAAAATCACATCGGTGTATGTCAGGTGTGGTATCAGGCTGCAAGAGGCGGATCTGGAAGTCCTTTTAGACTGCTCGGGTCCACTTATTGTGGCAGGGGACGTCAACTGCAAACATCGAGCATGGCATTCCAGGTTGAATTCCACCAGTGGGATCCGACTGTACAACCATGTGATACGAAATGGCTACCTCATACATAGTACTGAGGAGCAGACGCACCACCCATTTAATCACCTTCAGGCACCTGATGTTCTTGATTTTGCATTATCCAAAAACTGTAGCTACAGTATCACTTCTCGAATCATGTATGACATCTCAAGCGACCATCTTCCCGTCGTTTTGGAAGTGGCTAATGAGCAGATCTTGGGGGATGAAATCCCTCCAAGGAAACGCATTGATTGGGAGCTATACAAGTCGCTCCTCAGAGTTCCCCAATATACCGATCATAGATGATGAGAACGGTATAGATGCGGCTTAAGCAGAGTGGACAAGTTTTGTTCAGCAAACTCTGCAGCGTGCAGCTGTACTTCCCGTGCAGCGACACGGCAGACCTTTTCTGCCAGCAGACATCCGTCAGAAGATTTCTGATAAAAGGGCTGCAATTAAGCAAGCGAAAAGGTCTTGTCATCCTGATGACATTCGCAGAGCGACGAATCTTGTTCATGAAGTAAGAAATGCTCTTCATGAATTCCGCAATGAGCAATGGAACGACTTTCTGGCGGGGATGCTTGACTCAAGCATTCCTCTCGGGAAGGTGGCGAAGTCGCTCAAAAACGGAAAGCGTGAACAAATCCCACACATTCACGGTCCTGGGGGCATTGTCTTCAGGACACAGGAGAAGGTTGAGGTTTTCGCCGATGCCATGGAAAGACAGTTCTCTCCCAACTATGATCTTGATAATGACCTTGACGAGGAGCAACACATCGTAAGATCTGTCAGGAGATATTTTAGGGCCAACGGCGTCAGTGACAGTCGCGCTATCGCTGGTGATTTTTCTTCATCAGAAGATTCTTCTTCAGAAGCTTCTTCAACCGAAGATCTGCTTAGCACATCAGCGGTATCTCCTGAGATCCCGCATTGCACACCAGCAGAGATTCAAGGTCATATTAAAGACCTTAAAGTGCGTAAAGCACCTGGGGAGGATCAAATCACTAATAAGGCGCTGAAGCTGCTTTCGCGGAAGTCCTTAACTTATCTCGTATAATGATTCCAAAGAAGGTGGGTTAGATATTTCCCCAGGATTATCGTCCCATTAGCCTGCTGTCAGCTCCGTCTAAGCTCGCTGAAAAGGTGGTTCTACGTCACCTTGAAAATTTCTCGTCAGATCACCATGTGGTTCCTGACGTGCAATTCGGTTTTTGGTCTGAACATAGTACGGAGCCAGGCGGTTAGGCTGGTGGAACGTGTAACCAGAGGATTAACCCTTAACGAAAGTACTGGCATCTCTTGCTTTTGGATGTCTCAAAAGCATTTGACAAGGTGTGGCACGCGGGCCTCTTGTATAAACTAATCCAAAAGGGCTTCCCTTTTTGGCTTCTAAAACTACTGAAATCCTTCCTTGAAGGTAGGAAATTTCGGATCAAAATTGAAAATATCCTGTCGACAACACGGCTGATTACAGCCGGAGTCCCTCAGGGTTCGGTCCTTGGACCTAGCCTTTACTCACTGTACATCCATGACGTCCCTAGTCCCAGCAACTGTGAAGTCTATCTCTATTCTGACGATACTGCATTGGTGGCTCAGTCGTGGTCTGGTGACCTAGTCCATGACAGGCTGCAAAGTGCGGTGGAGGAGGTATTAGATTGGGCGGATCGGTGGCTAATTAAAATAAACCATTCGAAAACGCAGGCAATCTACTGTTCAAAAAGACGTCGCGGCGTTCCGTCTGAAGTTTCAATGAATGGACTTTGTATACCATGGGAATCCTCCGCTAAGTATCTCGGTGTCATTCTGGACAAAGGGATGACTTGGCGGAACCATATGGAAGCGCTAAAAACTAAATTCCAAATTACGTTTCGGCAGCTTTACCCATTATTATGTAAACGTTCAAAATTAAGTTTGATTAACAAGATTCGACTCTATAAGGTGGTCATAAGACCAGCAATGACTTACGCATGTGCGGCTTAGTGTTTTATTGCTAAAACACACATGCGAAATCAAAGCAGGACGTTGCGCACTATTGCTGATGCCCCATGGTATGTCTCTAACGAAACTCTACATAGAGACCTCGATGTCCCTTACCTAAAGGACTACATTAAGCAACAGGCGCAGCGGCGATATAGCCTAGCGGAATCGCACAGCAACCCTCTGTTGCGTGAGTCAGTGGACTACACAGTCGAACAAGTTCGCAAGCACAAAAGGCCGCGGCTCGCACTGTAATCAAAATTAACTCCTGAACTTAGAACAACGAATATTGGAGCATTTTGACACAATCTTTAGAAAAAATCAAATATTTTTAGACCATATCAAAATCTGTGAAGTGATTTTAACAATGCCTAAACGCTGCCTATCCTAAAAGATTCTCTTCTTCCCCTTTTCTCTCGTTCTTCCTTCTCTCCTTTCTTTCCCCTTTTTTCCTTAAAATTGTCTGGTTTCTGGGTTACCAGACCTGACAGACTTACAAACTGACACTGTGACTCAAGAGCTAAGGTCCCACGGACCGCTCTGACAACCAACGATGACTTGAGAATAGACATTTCAAATTAGCTTTCATTAAGACTTTGAGGAAAAGAAATTAAACACTAAACACACTCATAGTGAGTCCATTTAATATAGGTATTTTCATCAAAAATACCTTCAAACTGTGTAAAAATGAACAAGAAACTAATTTTTTACTTTAATTCGATCCCGCACTGTCCGCTCTGAACTACCATACTGTTTACGTATTTCAAGCAATTTCCCAATATTTCTCACAACGACGACTGTCTCCTCCACCGACG